TGCAAAACATTTTCCGCAAAAAAAAAAAAAAAAAAAAAAAAAAAATCCTTTCTTAAACAGTCTAAGCCCTTCGACCTAGTGGGCACTATAGTAACTTACCTCTAACAAACTCATGCAACTTAGAGATGAATTAGAAATTATGATAATGAATGCAAATTGAATGTAGATAACAAGTTATACCATCTTTGATTGCGTCCTTGCAGGTCCAATGCCATTGAAAAGACCAAGATATAAGACTCCCGGAGCTATCTGAATAACAATTTCAAAGTCAAACATTGTACTAATATAACAAGATGATGAGATTTTCTTTTAAAGACAATGAGTTGGAAAAACAGTAAGGACTTCTGATAGAAATACTTAAATTAATTAGATAACAAGAGAAACCTGCTCATTTGTCAACTTCATTGTTATATTTTTTTGCATCGGATAGCACTGTTCTGTAACCTCAATGTTTTGGATTCCTTGAGAAGATACATTGAAGACTGGTCTCAATTCTGAAACATCAAGAGGAGAAGGAAGAGCAAATAACATAATCTATAACCAAAACTAGAAGCAGAAGCAATGCAGGATGGAAAGATATGGTCACCAAATGTTACAGCAAAGCTAGAACATTCTGATGAGTACAAACTATCATATATTATGACTAATGGGACGAACATTGCCAAAACTATAAATACAATGGAGGTGCCACCACTAGTGTTCCACTACTTCTAAATCATCTGCCGAAACACCATACCAAGGCCCTCTAACGAATATTATTGGAAAAGTTAAATCTTTTTTCGTGGCCTGGGGTTATCTACTGGGCAGATTCATGATCAAAGCCTAAGGGCTTCCTTCAGATTTGGCGAAGATAACTTGATGGGGCCTCAAACTATATCAATGTAGGCCATACCTAAACGTTCCAGAGCAGCACTTGAGACATCTGGCAAAGGAGGGCTACCATCTCTGAAGCAGATCATAGGCACAGCACTTTTACCAACTTTTTGTATGGTACTTGCATCCTGCATATAAGTTGAACTATGAGAAACACAATGAAATGCAATTGCCTCTTGATTTCATGAAAATTAGAGAGATCGAAAATAGCAATGCATCAATATTTTCCAACAAAAATCCTAATGTATCCTGTTATACAATCAAATGCAAACCAAGCTAATAACGATTAAACAAGAGCTCAACTCTTGATATGCTCGCATACTAAATACTCGTTTATGACTGTCAAGGAAAGGTAATAATGCAATATATATATATATATATATAAGACGACAAAATTTATAAGGAACAATACAAGTCTGGCTTCAGAAGCAGCCACCAGCAAAGATAACACGAGACATTGAAAATCATAGATTAGCTGCAGAGTCCATACTTACAAGCTCCACATCTGATTCCAATGTTATATACATGGAAGAGAACGATGGTGGCAAATCAACTGCATCAATTACACAATCCAAAGGCGTAAGATAATTGTTTAATACATTCAATTAGAAAACTGTATGAACTACGAGCATTATTTTATAATTGCATCATAAACCCATATAGAAACACCTCGTCAGATCTTCATGGTGACTTCTACAACTTAATGCCTGACCAAAAAGATAAACTATACAAGAGCAAAAATCCAACACCTTTCTTACCAACTAATTCAACAAATTTTCTCAAATTTTAACGACGACCTATCAGTAAAAATACTCCATAAACCATCAAAACCCAAAAAGATTTAAAGTGAAAATAAATCTAATTAATCGAGGGAGCAGAGTATGAACTGTTGCACCTCTTATATATCGCAAATCATAAGGCCTGACTCGGCTTTCAGGGTATCTAAAACTGGAGATAGTGAAGGTATTGAACCCGTCTCCTGCTGCTTCCTCGAGAGACTTACAGCGACCAAAAACCCACAAAACGAAAAAGAAAAGACTGAGAATCGGATAAGAAGAAGAGAAGGGAATCGAATTCTGTAACATTGTTTGGGTGAATTGATTCTCGGAAAGGAGAAAAGAAAAGAAAAAAGGGATTAACAAAGTCTTAAACTTCGTTTAGTGAGTCGCTCATTGAGGAACCAAGCAAGATTTTTTTTTTTTTTTTTTTTTTTCTGCTCGCGAATAAATAATTAGATAATCAAAAATTATAAATCTTCTAGCGCGACATAGGTAATTGTTGACTAAGGTCAACCTAATTACCCACAGAGACAAAGATTTCAAATCCACGCTCGATCGGAGGACCGTACGAAACACGATCCAATAGGCAATGAAACGCTTGCTGTGACTATGTAGTATTGGTCCGTGATTTAAACAAGAGAAATAGTCGCGTGGTGGAAGGTTATTAATTTAACACACGCTAAACCGAACATTAGTCTACTGTTAGGAATATTACTCCCCTTTTGAGGCATGTTTGATTTGGAGGTCTGATTAAATATAAATATCTCAATATAACACAATCCAAATTTTATATTAAGATTTATTTGTATATTTAATTATTCGATAAATAAAAATCATGATTATTTAAACTGTTTTTTATGATTGGAATTTTATTTCAATTATAAGATAATAAAAAAATTAATAGAATTTTATTTTAAATATTAGATTTTATATTTATCTTTATTCCATCTGTTTTTTTTCCGGTAATAGATTAATATTTTTTGGTTCTACCGGCAACCTTAATAAAAGGTCGATCAATGACATTGTACTTCCGTGTCGGGTGATGGTGCTTTACGAGTTCAGATCGTCTGTGGTTGGGCTCAGCTTCAGAATCTTTTCTGGACCGTACGATGAGACTCTTGAACTTCACAAGACTATCTGGGCAATCCAACGGTTGAAGTAAAAACTAGAAATTATGCGACTCTTTCAATTGGGACTCTCGCTGTCTCTGTCGTCTTGTCTTCTCTCAAAAACTGCAACTCAACAACTTCCATTTGAAAAATCAATTCATACGCAGAGAGGGGGAAGGAGAGAGATGAGCGTGATAGACTTGATCACAAGAGTAGACACTATTTGCAGGAAATATGACAAGTACGACGTTGATAAGCAGAGAGAACTCAACGTCGCCGGCGATGACGCCTTTGCTCGTCTCTACGGCGTCGTTGAGGCAGAACTTGAGGCTACTCTTCAGGTGCCCTTCCATCTCTTGTTCTTCTTTTCCTCGCGTTTTCTTATTGGCTTCCTGTACGTTTCTTTTGAGAAAAATAAGTTCCGTTCGCGTTATTTATTTTTCCCAGTTTGGTTACTGAGAAAATGGGAGAGAAACGTGGAGTTGCCTAATTTTTCTTTTTAAATTTTAGAAATCGGAGGCTGCAGCGACGGAGAAGAGTAGGGCAACGGCGGTGGCGATGAATGCGGAGATTCGAAGAACGAAGGCTCGATTTCTTGAAGAACTCCCCAAATTACAGAGGCTTGTTTTCAAAAAGGTGTCTCTTCTTTCAATCAATTTTGACTTTCTTCTTTCAATTAAACTTCAAATTTATTAAATCATGAGCTGTTTTTATGCATTTCAAACTCTGGAGACCCGAACAATCAGTGTCTAATTTCATAAACCCCTAGTTGACCTGTTTTTGCTCATTAATTTTAACTCAATCTCTGATTACATAATGATGATTTGCAGGTGAAAGGCCTTTCAAAAGAAGAGCAGGAGGCTCGAAACGATTTAGTTTCTGCTCTGAAAGATAGAATTGAAGCAATACCAGATGGGTCAACGACTGCAGCTAAACAAACTGGCGGCTGGGCACCTTCCACCTCGGGGACAGGAATTAAAATTGACAGGAATTCAGGTCATTATTCAAGTAATATTCACCTTTTATATGTTTGCTTCATACTGATCATGTTGATTCAAGGCTATATTATCAACTTTGTCTGTGTTTCTTGAATTACATTAGATGGCAGTTACGAGGATAATGATGAATACTTTCAACGTACCGAAGAATCAGACAAGTTCAGAAGCGAGTATGAAATGCGAAAAATGAAACAGGAAAGTTTCTTTTCCGACCACCTAATTGATCTTGCTATGGCTGATAGTGTTTTTGTCCGGTAATTATGCCACTAAAGAAAATGGATACTTGGTGGAGAACCAAAATTTATGTAGTAGATTCAACAGTCCAATTTCAAATTTTAGATGCTTAAATGTTTTGCTGTTGATCCTATAAGCATATGATCCTTTATTCATTGTCATAGCTTTATGCGGTGAAGTTGGCTTGGCTGGGAAACTTTTACGAGTTCCAGCCATGGTTGATGCAATAATTATTGCATTTCCTACAAAATAAAAATTGTTTGGTCTAAGATCGTTAAACATGTTGCAGGATCAAGGATTGGATGTTATTGCAGAAGGGTTGGACACATTGAAAGACATGGCACATAACATGAATGAGGTTCGTTCATGTAGTGTTCTCCCATTGCTTTGTATTGAAGTACCGGAGCCAATCAGTTGCTATAGATTTTTCTGCTTGTTATGATCTTATTTTGTTTGAATTCAACAGGAAATAGACAGACAAGTACCGCTGATGGATGAAATAGATGAAAAGGTAAATTATATGTATGTATAAACTGCTTGCTTGATTTTACTACGAAAAGCTTTTCAGAAAATGACATTGAAGTAGTTTCAAATACTGGGATTTGGTGTTTGTGTTTCATCTTTATTCACAGCCATCACTTTACTAAACTATTTTGACATAATTCCAGGTTGACAGAGCAACTTCAGACCTGAAGAGCACTAATGTGAGGCTCAAGGATACCGTAAACCAGGTAACCGGATCAGGTTAAGCTATGAGATTCGAAGTTTAACTGACTACAACTGTCCAATTTCCCTCTCTATCGGCCTTTCCTCATTTTTTATGTATTTTCAGTTGAGATCTAGTCGCAACTTCTGCATCGATATCATCCTGCTCTGCATAATTCTAGGAATTGCAGCCTACTTATACAAGTAAGGTTCTTTATTTTGAACGATTCAATATGGAATATGCAACATACTGGAATTAGTCCAAGCATCTTCCGAACCTCTTTTTTTAACAAAATTTCAAACAGATTTAGCAACATGAGGGATAAAAAGGTCCATTCCACAAATTTTGATGCACCTTGCGGTATGCATTTGTCCTTGCTCCCCTCGTGAAAGACACTGCATACAGAATAGAAGAATAAATACATAAAGAATAATTTTTTAACAAAAAAAAAAAAAAGAAAGCAAGTTGCTTTCTGATGCTGTGAGGATAAGGATTAGGTATAAAGTTCGCCATCATTCATAGTCATTTATTAGAGGGGGGGGGGGGGGGGGGAATGCTTGCTTTGAACCAGGTTCATTTGGTATATAAAGATAGTTTTGTTTCCTTTTTTTTTTATTTACTAAAAGATCCCTTACACTACTTCGGTGCCTCCTCTCGGGTGAGAAGGCTAGTCCCTATAAGTGTTTTTATTATTATTTAGATAATATAATGTATGAAGTTTTCCTGAAAAAAAAAAATTGATTGAACCATTTATAATTTCGAAAACCAATATTACCCAAAATCGAAATATCACTTACGTTTTTAGAATTTTGTTTTGGCAGTGTGCTGAAGTGATGTGCAAGTTTGTGCAACCAGAGTGGCTTAAATTTAACACGTTTTTTTTTTTTTTTCTTTAAATCTTTCTTGAATATTGATCGTTAAGGAGTTACTCTTAGAGTCTTGTTTTATATTACATATATATATATATATATATATCGAAAAGAACATATACACACATATTAGTGTATATGCATGTATGTCTACTAGAGGTACAATGCAGTTATAATAGTGCACAAGTATTGTGGTCTAATTTCTTCAATCTACTTTTGTAAGCATAATAATAAAGTCATATTTTCTAGTCCCTGGAGAACATCATCAAGTTACAAGTTAAAACTCTCTCCTGTCCTTTTTAGTTCCCATACCGAGGAACGAGGGAGACATGTTATTTGCGTGCATGTATACGGCGCAAGTATTTGCGTGTGTGTGTGTGTTATGATTTTGAAATTAGTTATCAGTAAAAGTTTTGTAGAAAATTCATATGTAACTACTATTATTTGTAGATACAATTTATCATAATTTGTAATATGAGAATTCTAATTAAAAATGAAATATATATATATATATATGTGTTCGCATGAATCCAATTTATTTTAATTAGAAAAAAAACAAGTTTGTGGGGGGTGGGGGGCATGTTTTGTTGCTGGTGGAAACAAGGGAAAGTGAAAAGTAGTTCGTAGCCTAAACAGAAACACACTAACCACTTACTTTCTGCCAACCAAACGACAACTTGGACGGTCACACCACGCGCCTGTGGTGAGAGTGGCGGTGCAGAGAACATAAGGATTGATGTTTTCATCAGTGATGAAAACGAAACGTAACACAACGACGAATTTGGTTAAATTTATTTTCTTTGTCTGCTTATGTTTTGTCCCAACCGTATAACTGTCTCCATATTTTCCTTTTTCATTTCTTCTAACCTTTCTCTTTTACTTTTTTCTTTTTTTTTTTATTTTTTTTTATTTTAAAGATAAAAAAGTAAAAATCCATTTGTACTGCAGTAAATTTTGAGTTGCACTTCTCCAGCAAGTGTACGATTCACCTCTCTCATTCATTTTTTAACCACGCAAGCTAAGACATTGGTTATTGATTTTGTAAATTAAAGTTTTTTTTTGTTGGGAGGAATTAAAGCCAATTCGATTCATTAATTAAATAAATTAATTCCGTATGGTTTTTTTTTAATAAACTATTCATAGTTTGCAGAACTTCTCCGTTTGAAGAAACATATGTTAATTGTCTAAATGTCTTATCCATAACATTTCATTTGATTCAAACCTATTACAATTCTGTTTAATTAAATTTTGATATAGAACTTATTTGAAATCAGAATAATAATTTTTTTTACTCAATTCGTGTCGTATTGACAACAATTTTTCCTTTTCCTTTTTTCTTCTTCAACGTATTCTTATGTAAATCAAAGAAGATAGTCCTAATTGTCAAAGTTCTAATGAAAGTATCACCTATACCTTATTCATCAAAATATACTAATAACTTCTTTTTTTACATCTTTTTGTACTTGGATCTGTTGGAATCTTCACAAGGATGCCAATGCACATGGTATTGACATGTAACACACTGGATCTTTGCACTTCATGTGGTATTAAAACTTTATTTTATTTGGACATTTGGTCATTAAACTTATGTGGTATAATATTCTTTTATTTTAAATTTCTGTTATTGTTTTATTTTTAAATATTATCAAAAATTTTACTATATTATTTGAATTTATTTTATGTCATGACAGACGTTAAAAAGAAGTATTGAGGATTCTAAAAAGAAAAATTAGGAAAAAAAAAAAAGGGGAGAGGTTGATGACACGGGAAAGCCAGCCCGCGCGTCGCGCGCCCACGCACGAGTGCCAGGCCTACAGGAGGTGCGTGCAGGCACACATCCAACGGACCAAGGCGCTCATGTCGTGCCCAATTTACATGTGAATCCCGCGCACGGACCCTCTCACGGAGCCTACCTTGCGCACGCGTCAACGCGCACTAGGCTTAGCATGCTGCAAGGCTGACTTAGACTGTGCGCGCTGTGCCTCAAGCCCTGCATCTTGCCCATCTTGGGAGTCATGCCTCCTCCTTGGTCGGCTGACTTGGATGACCCAATGGTGATGTCATTATTTCCTCTCTCCTCACTGATTTGTGTCATTTGTTGCAAATTCGATGGTACTTTTTTTCTATAAACAAGGATTTTCTCCACCTTTTTTTCTCACTAATTTTTCACCCTCAAGACCGAAATTCTAGAGAGAGAAAGAAAAAAATAGAAGAAGAGGGGGGCTAGCTTATAAAGAGCTGTCGGTAATCAGTAAGAGATTCAGTATTTTTTTGCACATTTTAAGAGATATTTTTAGAAAAATATAAAAGTGAATCCCATGCACGAATCCCGCAAGCAGGCACATTGCATCACGCGTGCAGCTCCGCACGCACCTGTGTGATGTGACAGCATAGGATGGCCTGCACACACGCTGACCCCAACCTTCGCGCGCGTCAACCCGCCATCCGAGTGCACAGATTAGCCTGCGTGCACTAGGCCTAGCTTGCCACAGGGCAGACTTGGACTACGCGTGTTGTGCCTCAAGCTTTGCGCACCGCCCTTTTAGGAGTCGTGCCTCCTTCTTGGCCGACTGACTTGGATGATGTAATGATGATGTCATTATTTTCTCTCTCCTCACTGATTTGTGACGCTTGTTGCAAATTCGACAATACTTTTTCCTATAAATAAAGACTTTCTCCACCCTTTTTTCTCACCTATTTTACACCCTTAAGACTAAATTTCTAAAAAAAAAGAGTTAGAGAGAGAAATAAGAAAAAAAAAAGGAACTAGCTTACAAAGAATCGTCGGTAATCGATAAGGGATTCAAAAAAATTTTGTACATTCTAAGAGATATTTCTAGAAAAATATAAATGTGAATACTGATTTTATTGCATGACTTGTGATATAATTTTGAAGGTGTGATGAGTTATTAATTATAATGATGTTTTAAATACATGCATTGTGTAAAGGCTTACATTATTATTTCGTAAACAAGAATTGATATGAAATTGAAATAAGAAGGTATTATGTGAAATTGTTGATATGGCATGGAAACATGAATGGATACGTGAAATATAAATTAATATGTTAAACTATTTTATCTATTTCTGTTGTTTCCACCTTATCTGAAAAGACGTGAGATAACCACTCCCTCTAGATAACAATGTGAAAGTACATAAAAAATCTTAGGACCACTATGGCAAAGTAAAACTATGGTCATAGTTTTTAGGACTACAGTGGTTGGCACGACCGTAACCATAGATCGTGTTATGGTATGGCGAGCCGTAAATTAGCTATGGTGTGGCAAACCACAAATCAATTATAATGTAACGAGCCGCAAATCTATTGTGATTGAGCAAGCTGTAAATTGTCGATAGTGTTACACAGTGGTAGTTGGGAGTTCGTATTAGCCATTAAATAAAACGTCATAACGAGTGTCGCGTAGAGTATGGTAAAAGACTTAATAACAGTTATTATATTGATTTGTTTGATTTTCTCTCTTGGTATGTTATCTGTATTATTACATTGTCTTGATGATTTTGTTATTTTTAAATAAATATTTTTTCTCACATTGATCCTACTCTCATGGTTCATTGCAATGGTAAAAGGTATTTCTTAAACACTTGTACTTTTATAAAATTCTTAGTTGTGTCATTTTAATATTGTATGTCTCACTAAGTTTTATAGAACTCACTTTTTCTATGTTGGGCCCTCCTAGATGATGTCGAAGAGGATGTTTGTGATGAATTGTCCGTTGAATTACCTCTGGAAGCTCGCCTAGATCCCATGGATCCATGATCATTGACGAGTGCATGTTTTATTTCGCACTCTGATGAGTCCATTTACATGATGGAAGAAGTGGTCTTTCTTTTATATTTTGTATTTTGTATTTTATTGCCACTTCTCACCTCAGTTTTATATGTAATTGAGACCTCATATTTTGTAAAGGATTTTGTATTAAAAATTTTCCCTACATATATTCTATTTAAATGCATTCGTATTCTATATCGTTATCTGACACCTTTATACTGTAATTAATATTGGAGATGTCACAGATTGGTTAGATCCATATTCACAATAATTATCTTACTCCTATAGAAAATAAGGAACAACATGGCTCATGGCATCGAGAGCTCGTTCATTTGCACTTTCGAGCCCAATTATCCTTTGTATGGCCCTTGAATTCTACATTACACATGTTTGTAACAATTGAGAACTTAATATTGGTGATTGGGACAAAGGGACATATTAGAGAGTTCCTCCTTAGGATTAGTTCAATCTTAACACCAATACCTCTACCTATATTGACCCTAATAGAGTTGCAGCGAACGACCTCACTCGTTGCAATAATTACAAGTGAGTGACTAGTTTCATTCACCATATTAACAATACCTATCCTATAACAGCCAATATATTGGGCACACCTACTCTGGAGGGTGCACATTACAGGTCACCATAACTACATGGTCGTGGCTCATATTGGGTACCTTTTCTTTCGAGAATATAAGGTCAGTATGTATCACATTTCACGAGAAGCTAACACGTATACGGATCATCTAGCTCATTGGGCACACCACATACACAAGAGACTCATTTGGTTTGATCAAGCCCCTGAAACTTTTCATCATTACCTCTATTTTGATGTTTATGATACTACTTGGACTAATCTAACAGCCCATATCATGTAATTGTGTTCTTTTTTTCATTGCTTATTAAAAAAAAAAAAAAGATTTTTACTTCGATTAATTATCATCATGTTTGCATATTAATATATCATTCCTTTGATAAAAATTGTAATAACCTTATTCAAATTCATTTTTAGTGGGGAGTTATTGGAAATAACTATGATCATGTGGAGGGCTTGTCTGGAACCATCATATGCATCTATAACGTGGTCTAAAAATATAAAAAAAAAAAAAATTACTTTTATATAATGATTTTGACTATATATCCACATAAGTGATGCTAACATCATTTTCAACATATTCATATGAATAAAAAAATCATGAAAATAATGATTTTTTAATGTTATTAACTTATAAGATTGAATAACAGCTCAAAATCATTCAATTCTTTAATTTCTTAAAGTTCTCTGAACTTAAGTGTTATTATTAAGTCACAATATTTCAATTTTTCCAATTAAGTATATGTGTATGTTCAAGATTATGTTTAATCCTCAAGTTTGTTATATATACATAAGTTCATGTTTGGACCATTAAGGTAACATAAATAGTTTACCTTAATATAGAACGGCATATGTTAAACGAAAAGTCTTCAATTTTTCAAGAA